CTCAGCACATGCAAAATAGCATAAGTATACATTGACTTTCTCAATGTGTGTCTTAATCCCAAAATATTTGAAGCCATTGAGAAAGTAGCCGATTCCCAAACAGTGATAAAGGCAAAACCATGGGATCAGTGCACATACATACTCTGAAGGTTACGAAATTGCATCATCTATACAGTGAAGGTGTAGAACTAATGCAACCATGTGCAAAAGCATTTAGCCGCCGACACCGCAGCGCCAACTCGAGGGGCTTGGACTCTCATCACGAAGATTCTCGGTTTGTGTTCCCACAGGGATAGGTAGAACAAAGCACTGCCGATGAGTTCCGATAAGAATGAACCTGTTACCCAGTACGGCTTGTCAGCCAATACACAACTTTAGCATGAATGTTTGTGTGCGTGTTCATGTAGGACAGAAATAACAAATAGCCATTTAAAAACAAATGCTGATGAAACTAAGGGAAGCCTTGCTCGAGATTAGTTTCAAAAGAAAGGACCATATTCCTATACTGCACGATATTTGTCCAGGACGGTTTTGCTGCATCTCAACATGCTGCATTTTGCATACTATGTTTATGTATGGCTTTAGCATGGCAACAAAGTGAGGCAAAATACATTAAAACAGCAACGGGTGAGGACGGAATCTCGTAATTTAGACCTTGGTTTCTATGTAGCGGACTTGACCTCGATGACGCAACACCAGATCAACCGAAGCACAGCGTTTCGGATTGTTTAAAAGTCACGAGTAGCAAGAGTACTTAGGTTTGTTGAAACGGTTGCTATTAATCGATAAAGTCTCGCCCTGATTCAACAAAAAGAACTTCATGTTAATCTGCCCCTGCCCTGGTGACATGGTCCTTTTACCCTACTCTTCGTTATGTTTTATCTGTTTTAATGTATTTTGCCTCACTTTGTTGCTATGCTAAAGCCCTACATAAACATAGTATGCAAAATGCACCATGTTGAGATGCAGCAAAACCGTCCTGGACAAATATCGTGCAGTATAGGAATATGGTCTTTTCTTTTGAATGCTGATGAGGCTGATGATAGTGATAGACAGTAGTGTACAAATGACGAATATATGCTTATCAAGCACTGACCTGTTGACTCAGGTATGAGCCACTCATCTGATGGGTATGGCTGCTCTATTTGATAGCGGCATTCGTTACACGTATGATTGCTAAAGTAATCGCCGGGAATTTCGAACTGACTTATGCTTTCGTCTTGCTGTTTGATTCGCATGGTCAGTATGTATTCAGTCCCCTGCACGCGCAGATGATCGCCATCCCAGCTCACTTGACCCAATTTTTGCTGATTGATATCTAAGAGGGATTGAGAAAGCACAGACGAAATAAGAAAAATATCTTGTTTGTTAGCTCAGCATGTTTTAAGACAAAAACCTGTTCTGATTTTCAAAGCAACGGGTGTAAATATCGAATTACCAATGTATACAGTCAAAGCGCAGTAAAGACGCCGGTTACATTTTCGGACAACTGATTCATTTGTCACATTTAGCAATCCCCGACTGTTTGGGCGAGGAAAGACGATGTGTTTTTCCACACGATCGCCTCCTACTTCTCATTCTCCTCTTCCACTGTCTCTTCCTGTGCATTTGAGCAAGTTGTTGACCGGCGATCTCCCTAATCCAAATTCACGAGTATATAGGAGAAAAGGGTGAATTAGCAGGGCATGTGATTTCTCTTAGCTGTTCATCCAAAGACTACGTTGATCAGGCGGACTACTTACAATCGGTGTACTAGTAGAGATACCAAAGGAAATTTTGATTACTGATATAAAACATGAAAAAAGTAAAGTTTTTATTACACACTGGTGTGTGATGGACAACAGTTGAGGTTATGATGTTTCAGTGATAGTAAACCGCAACCTAAACCCTGGGACTTGGAGTGGCTGACCACATAAGGTCCCTCTAGGTCAGGCGTGTTTTAGAACCCGGAGATAGCAAAGTTGCCTACCATCAAAGTTAGGTGGCGGCGGTGGGGCTCGATCCTCGGACCACAGGGTCTAAAGCACACCAGTGACAGCGACTAAACCACTGCACCACCACCACCCTGAAACATCGTATTAACTGAAGTATTGTATGTATTATCTTTTAATAATCTCCCCTCCCCCAAGACTGAAGGGAACCACTGATCTGTAATAAAACAAAATAGAAACATTGAATGGCCTTGCTTATTCCCAGGATTCCACTGGTAATAGTAAGCAGGCGACAATTATTCACTACGGACTCACTCGTATCTGAAAGGTAAAAGGTCAGTGGCTAGGATGGATTTCGTCACAAATGGGGAATTGAATCGTCGACTATCTCCTGTGCTTTCACTATTCACATTGATCTTTGTAGAGGTAGCTCCAGAACCTAGGCTTTAAAAAATAGGAATACGGCTCTGCCAATGCGGATGCTTTCACCTCATTTGGACAAAATCATGATAGAAAGTCGAGTGACGCAGAAGTGCCAGTCCTGGCCGGTTGGTCATCAGAATGTTCCGGCGTTCAATTCCGTTATATTATTTGCTAGAATGACTTACTTGTTCAGTGGTTAACTGATGGGAAATATCTTATCAGTTGATTACCTTCACATGATAATTAATAGGTCATGTGATGATGACGAGATAAGATTGACTGTCCCAATAAACCAGTTTTACAATCGCTAGACAGGCATGTCAGTATTTCACGACCGTTTCCTCGAATCTTTTAAGTCCCTATTTGAGTCGATAGGGACCGACTTCTATCTATAACGCATGATTCTGAATTGTTCCGAATCACTTTCTCTTTGTTCAAGGATTACTTCATCGGTAGAGCAAACTTCAAAAACCTTCCTTGAACAACTTCTGATTTGCTAACGATCTATTCTAGGGTACTTTAAAGAACAACATTGGTCTCTTTTATTTTATTTCTCTTTATCCACAACCTATCCACCAACACTGATAATCCTTTTATTAGATATAACTACGATGCCACCATGGTTTCCAGGTTCCAGGGTGACTTGCGTTTCCGATGGCTTCAAATCAATTTGTCTGACTTAAGCTCCCGCTCTTCTGATTCTTATTCATCAATTAGCGCCTCTAATTGAAGGGATATCACTTTTACTCGTCAGAAAAGAATGGCTACTTTCGTTTGACGCAATCTTCCTTAAACCCATGTTATCACCCAAACTTCTTCAAAAGTACGTTATTTGCATGAACTTAATGTGATGGAGGCTCAAATCATGCAGCAGCTCATTCACGTTGGATATTCATTGGTTGTTATACCAATACCTAGTTGTTCAGAGGTGATTTTGATCCGATGTTGTCTCACGAACTTCGATGATATCATCATCACCCGTGGCAGATTAGTTGAGATTGGTTGGAGTCACCAGGTAGCCACAAACGTGAATGAAGAGCAGGTTGAACGGTCATTTGGAATTGTTGAACATCTTGGATCGTCATGACCACTACGTGGCAAAACAACTGAGTCCGAAGTAGCTTTGTTCAATTTGATTTTCACCGATAAAACACTTCACATCTACACGGGGAAAATTGTGACAGCCTTGTGTGACTGGGCTATGTCTACTCATCGATTTGGAATTCATCGTGCTATTACCATAGCATGTTGGTTGGGACAACGTTATTGTACTTTCCAATCTAACACAACTTCAAGACTCAAAGAAGAAGTGGATATCTAATGTGAGCGATACGGCCCTTCCCGTGATTGATATACACAAGGAGCATGTCAGTGATTGGTTATGTGATGTGTTCGGAAGTGTATCGCTTCAAACTCTCGGTCGTTGGGTCCTGTGTTAGAGGGACAAAGAGAAAGACGAAAATTTGGGCCAGCAGCTATCTAAGAAGGTTCCGACCCCTCATGCTATGTAGTTCATCAACCTGAGTATAATTGTTTCGGCAGAAAACGCCGAAAAGTAACCCCAAGCCCTTTCGGATCAAACTGCTGAATGGGAAACCGCCCCTTACGCCATGCTTACTTGCATACTGGATAAAATCAGTTGCAAATCCTCGAACGATCCGCTAGATTTAGATTGGAACGACTCATTTACTATCTGTTGTTGGCTATGCACGACATGGATGTGGCAGATCATTGGGAATTGCTCATTTGATTGGTTGGTGGATCGAATCGCAAGTATTGCAAAGCACTTTCAGTCACCTGATCTCTATGCGATTCTTTCGGCGCAGCCCTCACAGCAGTTGCAGGAGTCCAATGAGAATTAATGATTCAAACTCAAATTCCCTTTGCACTATCTGGGGCAAGTGTAAATTCATTTTAACGAGAGGGAACCAGTTACGCTACGGTTACTGCATTGGTGCTGCTCCGTTTTGTTAGAAGTCAATTACTTTTACTGATTCATTCAAATTGATTTTGCTGGCCCTTTTGAAGATAATTATTACATAATAATTGGTGATGAATATTCCAAGTGGCCTGAAGTTATTTCGATGCGTGTTATAACACCTGTCTTCAAACAAAACCTTAGAAAAGACCAAATTGCAATACTGCACGATTTATGTCCAGGACGATTTCGCTGCATCTCAACATGGTGCATACTGCACAAAATACAATACTTATATAGGGATTTCGCATGGCAACAAAGATGAGTAAAATACAATGAAGCAAAAAAAAAACATAAAAGGGGGAGGGATAAAAAGACTATCACCAGGGTAAGGATAAACTAACATAAAGTTCTTTTTGTTGACACAAGGGGGGCTTCCATCGACTGATGGCAATTGCTTCTGCAAACCGTAGCAATCTTGCGATTCGTGACTTTTAGATAATTCGTTTGTAAAGGATCGCACGTCGATTGGTACGTCGACGATACTCTTGTGATAACAGAAAGCCTAGAAGAGACTACAGCAATTTTGGATGAACTTAATAGATTACATCCAAATATTCGCTTCA